GGGGTATTTGGTGTCGGGCACTGCTCGGTGGTCAGACTCGAACGCCCTGGACTCCGGCTCTCGGGGAAACAGTGTCTGGTAGGGGCGACCCAGCGCTTTTGCCAACTCCAGAACACGGAGGAGAATGGTAACTGTTTGAGAGGATGCTGTAGGAAGTCAGAGGCCGAGGCATCTGAAAATGGGCGCTTGGAGAGCGGGAAGGATTTGTCCGTGTGGGAATCGTTAGGGGTAGGGGAGGCAAAGGTGATGGCTCACACCGCCAAGTTTCCTTTCAGAAAGCCCCTTGGAGGCCTGACTGCCTCACCTCAGCCTCTTTAAGAGCGGCCCCGCCCCACCAGCCGCTCGTGTCAATCTAATCCCCATGGCCAATCGTAGAAGACGAGAGACCACTTCCGCGCCTCAACCGCACTAGGGGGCGGGGCAGGTTGGTCACGGGGCCAGCCCGATTAGCCAGAGGCGGTAGAGGCACAGAGCGGTTCGGCGACGCTCATTGGCCAGAGAAGGGTAGGCCCGGCGCAAGGCCACGCCCCTCAGCGGCCACGGGTTTGGTTGCGCGGTCGCGGGGGAAGGAGACGCTGTCCTTCCGCAGCGATGGGATCCCGGGTGAGTGGCGGCCGGGGCTGAGCCCCCCAGGCGGCGGGGCCTGGGACCGAGGTTTGCGCAGGGGCCTGGGCGGGCGTAGATGTCCGGGCCCAGCTGGACCCAGAAAGTGCCTGGGTTGGAATAAGTAGCTGCCTGGGCTGAGGGCGGCGCGCGAGGATGCCTTTCTTGGGGGCGGAATGAGAAGGTACGTGGATCCGGGAGGAGATGCCCCGGCCTGGAACGTTGCGAGGCTTGGAGCATGAGCGCAGGTACCCGAACCCCGGCTGGGAAAGTACCCGGGGTGGAAGGAGCACGTGTGCTGGCTGTGGGCAGTGTCAGAGGTACTTGGGTGATCCTTAAGGATGTTACGGGGTCGGGGCAAGAGAGGAAGGGGCCTGACCCGGCGCTGCACAGCGAGATGTCCGGGGTGGGATGAGGAACTTGGGGGAATGCCCAATGCCCAGCGAGTGGGACGGGTGAGGTGTCCAGGATGGGATGAACAGGCGACTGGGCGGCGAAGGCCCAGGGAAGTGCCTGGCCGGGGACATTGCTGGGGTCAAGGCGAAACGAGGGAGTGCTCAGGCCACAGTCATTAGTTGGGTCATCTAGGGACGGGGAGGATTGCCTGGGATGGAAAGCCTGGGCATCCAGACCGAGAGTTGTAAATGCACAGGTTGTAAATGCTGTGGTGGGGATGCAATGAGGAGGTGTCCACTTGAGGTTGTAGGGCAGGAGAAGTGGCTGCACAGGTGGGGCCAGGCGCTGCACAGCATTAGAAGTATTTGCTTGGTGGGAAGCATTGCCACAGGCTTTTATTGTGGAGAAGAGGTGGAGACCCTGCGTCGTGCCAGGAAGATGGACAGGGTATGGGGGGGCTGGATTGGATCCATCTTTGGAGTGAAACAGTCTTGGGGGCTGGTGGTGTTACCTCGCACCTGCCATTCTTCCTCTCAGTGAAGACAGCAGGGATGCCTTGGACTCTGCTGTGAAAACCAGGCCTCAGTACCCCTCTCCCAGCCCTGTCTCTCTCTTGGAGCATGTGTCCAGGCTCATCTTTGTAACTCCACGTGGGCTTTTCATGTGGGGACCCAGAAGTCCTGCAGGTATGGCCAGGAGAGGGCAGTGGCAGTTGTAGGCAGCGACCGGGGAACACCACTATAGCCTTGGGATCCTCCAGAGCTGGGGTCACATCCCAGCTTGGCCGCTTGCTCAGTGACCTCGGGCAGGTTGCTCTGCTCTCAGAGCCATGTGGTTTCCCCATCCTTGAGATAAACATGGGTCATCGTGAGGTTCTGTGAGTGGCTAGACTGCAATCTTTTAGGGGAGAGCCCGTTCCAAGTCTGGCCTGGAGTAAGTGCTTGGGAAATAGTAGCTGCTGATCCTCTGAAGTTCTTGTCTTCCCTCATCCTGAAGCCCGAGCTGGGCTGGAGTCGGGAGAGTGGCGGGGGTGGGGGGTCGGAAGAGTGACTTATGGTATTAACTTGGGCCCTGACCACTGGAGGTCATGTAGCTCAATTCCTAGCCTCCTGGCAGGATGTCTTCTAGTCCTGGCAACATGGCAGTTCCCTTAGCCCTAGATCATTACTCTGCCTGCCCCTTCTCTGACACACACCCCTCAGCCCTAGAGCTAGATTGATAGGATCGTCTGTCCTTCTCACTCACTGGGGATAAGCTGTTTCTTGTGCTGGCTCAGCGACTTTGGCTGCCATCCCAGGAAGACAGGGTCTGTCCTGGCCTGCATGTTCCTTCCACTTGAGGTCCCAGGAGACCTTGAAGGCATCCTTAGGCTTGGTGCTGGCAGTTGGGGAACACCCTGCAGGGTCTTGGAGTCTAGGCTATGTGTGATCAAGCCACTTATTCCCTGGCCATGGAATGGGGCAATGGAGTATGTGGCAGTGGTGCTCTGCCCTTGTACTGCGCGGTTCTGCTGGGACTGCTGCTTCTTGCTCTGTGTCAAATGTTGCCAAAGGGTTGCGTTGAGCACAGAGTCTAGAGTCCGATAAACTTTGGTCCAAATCCTCACCCCACCACATACCAGCTGTGTCACTGTGGACTCCTGACAGCCTCCCTGAGACTCAGTTTCCTCACTGGAAATTGGGGGTAGGGCTAGGGAGGAAGGCATCTACTTCACAGAATTGTAATGATTCGGTGAGAAAATGTATGTAAAGAACTCAACACGAAATACACAGATAAAGCATAGTAGCTGTTATTATCTGGGGAAATGCACTGCTGTTTTCATAATACAATCCACAGGAAATAAAACATTCTTGGCTTTGTGGGAGGTGGAAAAAAAAAAAGATTCTCAGTCTGGGGCCTGAGATTTTTGTTTAGCAAATGGCCCAGTGGTTTAAAAAGGTTGAGAAAATGTGACATAAAGCTCCAAGTTTGAGAGTGATCTGTCTATCTCCCAGGCCCTGCAGCTTCTTGAGCCAGCAAGCCAGAACTGTTTCCACTCCAGGGCTCATGGTGGGTAGAGGGTCTGTGGGGCATTCAGCCGCCGCTGG